AAGGTGTTCCTTTTCGGTGGCAGTCCCTACAGAGTTACTCATAAGGCTGTAGTCATTTCCCAAAAGACAGGATATGTTACTACAAAAAAAGGGGGAAGTGGAGACTAGGTGACCCCAAACTAACAAATATTGCTATAGTCACAGCATGTTCATTTTGTTGGCTATCTAAATTACTTTTTAGTAAAAAGAAAAAAAGGGGGGGGGGATAAAAACTAGATCACCAACTCTTAATTATAAAAAATGCATATTGGTATAAAATTGAAGAGAAATGGGCTCTAGTTTCAGCCCTTCTCCATGGAGTGCACCACGGGTTTTTGGGTTCTGGTTTCTTTATTCCTAAGGTGATGGTATATGTACTAAATGACCCGTAAGGAGTATTCCAGCAGTAAAATCTCAAAGTTCCCTGTCTTTTTAAATGTAGGAATGTATTTACTTTTACATATGTACATAAACACACCCCATGCGGTCCAGTTTCCAGATTCAAGTGATGAATAGGAATATACACAAACCAAAGTTTAAACAGTTAAGTTTGACTCAATTAGTAATTACAGTTTTTAGCTTGTATTAAATCAAGAAAGATGTGCATTTCAAAAGCTGAAATTCCATAGATATTGACATTTATAAAGAGATAATATATTATTGTCTAAGAGTAGAAAATAATTTCAGTTTAAATAGAATTAATCATAAATGACTTTATTTCTACAGTCATAGAAGGGATAATTATATTTGTTATAAGCTGTTGTATATTTTTTAACACTTTAGGTATAAACTACTGAAGTAGTATAGTAGTTTCAGCCTAAACTATTTATTGCTTCCTACTAGCTGTTTTCTTCACCAACTAGGCTAGATGAGCAAGACTTTATAGTATGTATTTTTGATCGCTGAGGAATTGATTCTGATGACTTAGGAAATGCAGCTGCTTTGTTTCATTGTGGGTTTTTTTTTAAACTATTAAACGTTAACCTGAATTATATTATCAAATAAAAACAAGAATCAGAAGTTCCTTCATTATAATTACATATAACTTTCTATGTGGTATGGCTCTATATTGAGTTAACAGGTAGCTTCGTTTGTAGTCACTTCACAGTCTGTGAGGTCAGTTGCCTGTCTCTTACTTGAAAACTCTCATCTATAATGCCAAGATTGCTTATCTACACTGTCTATTAACAGGAAACCCAACATACGGTCTGTAGTTCCAAGTAAAGGACAGAATGAAAAGCAGGGGTTGTTAACAGAAAGAGCACTAATCCAAGGTGTTAAACATAGACAGGATTTCTAAGGAAGTCTTGACTGTCTAATAAAAACTTAAGGAATTCTTATACATAAATAAACTTAAAATAATTTTGTATATATACAAAATTTGTATATATAAAAAATTTATATATATACAAAATTATTTTAAATTTATTTATCTTGAGGGTGTGTGTGAGCTGGGGAGGAGTGGAGGGAAAGGGGGAGAGAGAATCCCAAGCAGGCTCCATGCTGTCAGTACAGAGCCCAACATGAGGCTCGAACTCATGAACCGTGACATCATGTCCTGAGCTGAAGTCAGGAGTTGGATGCTTAATTGACTGAGCCACCCAGGTGCCTCTATACAAAATTATTTTATCTTTATCATTCAAAAGTCATTCTTACATATTTTAGGAGATGAGAAATATAGAGAGAATGATTAGATCATCAGACTACCAACCAAACATGAGCCGACCATGATGCCTTCTTAAACAGCAAACTTTAGACACACATTGAGTATGGAAATAATCGAGTGTATCTCCATTTTTTAAAAGAAGAAATCAGAATAATGTCCTGGAAGAAGGATGATGATGATGATGGTGGTTGTGATGATTTATAATAATCCCTAGTTAATGAATGTTCCACATACTCTTCTCATTCCTTTATGTATATGAATTCATTTAAGTGTCCTATATTCCTATGAGATAGGAACTCTTAGTGTCACCATTTCATAGATCAGGAGATAGGCACACATAAGTTGAGTGGCTTGTCTAAGGTTCACAGCTAATTAGAGCAGAATGGGACTTGAAATAAGAAGCCTGGTTCACAGTTCATGCTTTAAAACACTAAGCTATGTTATGCTAAGTGAAATAAGTCATACAGAGAAAGACAGATACCATA